CAGCAACAACACAAACCACAAATTCCAGACTCCTAATCTGGTTTACTCTAATAAGAACTATGTTGGTCCTTTAATCCCTGTTTAAAGGGCCCATGTTTATTGTTGCCATAAAATCTGAGGAAAGGGTTATAAATCACTGTTCCGTTTGGTCCACAGCAGGAGCTTAATGCAGGACTCAGAACAGGCAAATGTAGGTGACAGCAATCTTGTTTCTTTGGTGTTTTTCCTCAAAAGCACTTTCCTAGTGCCCTGTGCTAGGAACCTCTGTTTGCCCTTCTAGACTTGGCTCTTTCCTCTGTACTCCACTCTGTGCCCAGAAAAAGAGGGGCAGCAGAAGTACTTGTGATACAGGGAAAAAAATGAAACTCCCGATCTGAAGGGTACTTGGGACAAGTTCGTGTTCTCTAAAACCGAAGAATGAATTTTAGGAAAAAAACGGAGGTGAAGAACAGAATATATTTATTGGGAAAAGAAAGCTCCTGTCCTAGAGAGGGACAGAAGCGGGGCAGGACCAGGTTATCCTCCTGTAGCTGTCTCTTCCAGGGACTTTTATAGAGGAAACCATGCGGTGAGGTGGGTCTAGGGTAGTGGAGAACTTGGGAACTGACTTAGGGGGGCCTGAGGTGGGACAAAACTATGGTCAGCCAGTGAGATTACAAGCACCATTGCTCAGGTAAAATTGATTAAATCCAGGACCAAATGAGGAAATGAGTCACATAGCAAGCGAGCATGAATACGGGACAAGGTCTCTTCCTGTTGGGTGTTGGGTTAGTGACTCATTTGTGCTCTTTCAAGGTGATCGATACCCATTTAGAATGTCAATCCCGGATGCTCATCCCTAGGGAAGTATGTGGCTGCATTTGTTTACTCTTTTGTCTTAAGATCTGGTCCAAAGCGGAGTGTCTGTCTCTTCCAAACTTGCCAAGTTACCTTGTCTTCCATATTGTCTTTGAGGGCCTGGCCCTGTCTGACTGCCTATAACATTTCTATCTAATTCAGCTGCCTATAACACCTGGATCACCTTGCCCTTGACTTCCAGCTAGCAAAAGAGCAGCACTAGTAGGAAATAAGAGAAGAGAGCGAGAGGTTGGGGTTCATCCCCAGCTCTCATCCCACCCTGCCACTCTTCCACAATGATGGTGGTTTTCTGTTTAGGGCCACAGCCCAGGTCAGGTGGTAGTGCTGTAGTCAGCTGAATTAGAAAGTAATATTATAGGAGCCAGGGAGATGGCTCAGTGGAATAAGCACTCTCTTGGCAAGCGCAAGGGTCTGAGTTCAATCCCCGGTTCCACCAAAAAAAAAAAAAAAAAAAAAAAGAAAGAAAGAAAGATTATAGGCAGTCAGACAGGACCAGGCCCTAAAGGAGACAAGATGGAAGACAAGGTGACTTTGCTACTTGGAAGAGACAGACACTCCCATAAGTGCCACACGTCAAGACCATACTTCCCTAGGGATAGGTATCAGGGATTGATATTCTAAATAGGTATGATCACCTTGAAAGAACCCAAATGAGTCACTAGCCCAATCTCCAACAGGAAGAGACCTTGTCCCAAATTCAAGCCTGCTTGCTATGTGACTCGCTTCCCCATTTGGTACCGGATTTAATCAGTTTTACCTGAGCAGTGGTGTTTGTAATCTCATTGGTTGACCATAATTTTGTCCTACCTCATGCCCACATAAGCAAGTTCCCATGTTCTCCACCATCTTAGACCCATCTCACTGCATGGTTTTCCTTATAAAAGTCCCTGGAAGAAACAGCTTCCCCGGGGGACCACCAGCTCAGGGCTCCCCTTCTGTCCCTCTCTCAGGCAAGAGCTTTCTTTCCCTCAATAAATATATTCTGTTCATAACCTCCGTTTGTTCCCAAAATTCATTCTTCAGTTTTAGAGAACACGAACTCGTCCCAGGTACCTTTTAGGTTGGGGAGATCAGTTTTTCTCCCCGTGTCATTTGGAGGTTTCCCTGCATCAGGAGGTGTTTCCTCTGCCAGGACCACAGATCTCCAACTGGTTCCAGCCCATCCCCATTCCCTAGCCCCATCCCTTTGGATCTAAAGAGGGAATAAATTCTTCCACTGAATATACCTTCGTTTCTTTCTGAGACAGGGTCTTGCTATGTAGTTCTGGCTGGCCCTGAGCTCACTATGGACCCCAGGCTACCCTCAAACTCACGATGATCCTCTTGATTCAGTCTCCTGGGTGCTACGATTACAGATATGTACCACCATGCTTGGCCATAGTTCCTTTTCAAACTCTTGTTTAGCTCTTTGAGTGTGCAGTCCCTTTTCTGCTGCAGCGCTGATAGACACAATTTCTTTCTTTCTTTCTTTCTTTTTTTCTCTTGGGATGCTGGGGATTGAATCCAGAGCCTTTACACTGATCTACATCCTCATTCCCCATCTCTCCTTTTTTTTTTTTTTTTTTTGCACCAGGGATTGAACTCAGGGACCCTGTGCTTGCCAGGCAAGTGCTTATTCTACTGCACTATCTCCCCAGGCCCTCTTATTTAAAAAAAAAAAAAAGAAAGAAAAAAAAAACTTTGAGATAAGGTCTCACTAAGTAGCTAAATTGCTCTGGCTGGACTTGGAACTGTTTTTTTTTTCTTTGTATTTTAGGGAAGGGTCTGCAGGGTGTTCAGGGTCTCACTACTAGATGAGACTCACAGTGATCTGCCTGTTTACAGCCTTCCAAGAGCTGGGCTCATAGTTGTACACCACCACACCCCGTCTCAATTGCAATTTTAGCGCATCCCAGGGGCGGGGCCAGCACACACGCAGGCCCAGGGGTGGAACCCTGACCCCTGAGCCTTCCTTCCAGCACTTTAATCCACTGAGCTATTTGGCCGGCCCTTGGACTTGAACTTCTGATCCTCCTGCCTCAGCCTACTAGAATGCTGGGATGACAGACATGTGCCGCTATGCCCTGCCTGATGGATACACCCTGACAGCTCCATAAAGCACACAGATGGAATGTACCTGTCCAACAGAGGCCTCCTGAGGGTCCCCTGCCTGGCCCTCCTCTCTTGTCCTGGGCATTCCTTCTGTCTCCCTTATTCTTTCTGAGGGTCCTCCATCTCCACCTGCCCTTGGCCAGATCTATACTGATATAGCTCTCTAAACTCATTGAAGTTTTCTTTCTCAGCCATCCTGCAGTGCTTCCTACTCAGTTAATGTCACCTAGCCAGGTGACAAAAAACTGGAAAATTAGGTGACGTCTGAAAACACTCCCCAGAGGAACCTAAGGGGAAGCCTCATTCTCAAAGCCCCAACAGAAACGTAATTTAAAGAAAGGTGAACCCGACCTGCCTCCTCCACAAGCAGATGGGGGTCTCAAGGAAGTTCTTCTTTCTCTTCCTCCTCCTTTTCCCCCAGTCACTGCCACCCTTAAATCCTCAGGCTCTGAAACTGTGCACCACCACTGCCTCCCCTCCCCCTGGGCTCAAACCCATTCACAGACCCTCCTCTCTGCTCTGCCTCTTACCTGTTGCCGGTGTCTTCCCAGGGCTCCTTCCCTGGCTTCAACACCGCCCCGTAACCCAACCCCTGCAATGCCAGCTCCGCAAAGCCTTCAGCGGGCCCCTGGTGTCTGAAAATGGCGGTCCTGTCCTTTGCTTCTTCTTCTTCATCTTTTTTTTTTTTTTAACTCAGGCCCTTAAGCACTTATTCTACTGAGTCATCTCCCCGGCCCCCTTTGCTTCTCTTGACTGTGATTTTTCTCCCAGTCCTAGAGATTGAACCAAGGGCCTTCGTACTGAAATACATCCCCGCCTTTTAACTTTTTAAAATTTGGAGACAGGGTCTCATCAAGTTAGTAAATTGCCCCGGCTGGGCTCGAAC